ACCGGTTTTATATCGTGCAGTTAGCGCAAAATACGTTCAGTTAGCCAGCTAACGCTGAGGCTTTGTGGTTTGATGCTAAGCTAAACAAGTATGGGTTGTAGTCTACAGCAGTATTAATATATTATAGCCTACGCTTTGGCACCTAACGGTGGTGTTTTTAAATGCTTTGTAAATTATCCATGCTATTTTCTATTAGCTAACGTCGAAGTAGTGTATGTGCAATCAACCTCACACATAAGATGTGTAGTATATTACAATTATTAATGGTCCTTATTCCAAGGATGGATTACTTAGATATTACAATATGGTTGGTTGAGCTGGAGTTCATTATTGTGCTTACACGTTGTAACATCCACGTACATAGTCTGAAGAACAAACCCAAAACCTTGTTAGTACTTATTAAGTAATCATCTTGAAATATGACATCTAATAATTGTAATATACACACATCTTATTGTGAGGTTGATTTTCAACATACACTACTTCGACGTATAGCTAAATAGAAAATAGCATGGATAATTTACAAAGGCTTGAAAACACCACCGTTAGTGCCAAAGCAGTAGGCTATAATATATTAATTACTGCTGTAGACTACAAACACTACTTTTTTAGCTAGCATAAACTCAACAAAGCTAGCGTTAGCTGGCTAACTGACGTTATTTTGCCGCTAAACTGCACGATATAAAACGGTGGTCTTCAAAAAGGATTTAATCCTCAATCACAATAATAATATTCAAAGTAATACTGGGCAAGTAATGGGCAAAATTTACCGTTGATTGACGCGCCATGTCAGCGGACTGGTAGCGACCATAGACTGTATATATAAAGGTAGCGACACGAACCGTTAGCTCCGCCCCTTCGCTCCAACGCCCCTCCATCCCCCCACATCTACAGCTGATCTACAGTTGAAAATTACTTTTGCGACACATTTATCGCAAGAAGTGTAACAAAAGTCGCGACCGCAGATTCGTCGATTTATACTGCCACAGAGCAGATTCGTCAAGTTGTAATGACAGTTTTGAGAGGTTGTAATAAACAAGTTGCAGTTGTAATGGAAAATATATTTTAAAAATATGTATTTTTCTGCAAGTGAATATTTCATCACTAAGTTCATTTTTTTCCTACAAGCTACAAAACTTTTTTTTTCCTTCTGCGACTTCAAATTTGGTTCACAGTTAGGTGGATATTTTATACAACTGTGCATTTGGTTCACAGTTATGTGGATATTTTATACAACTGTACATTTGGTTCACAGTTACGTGGATATTTTATACAAGTGTAAATGTATGCACAAAAACAGATTTTTTTTCTGCAAGTGCTCACATCAGGTTTTACACGCTCTCGCATTTTGCACCATATCTACCTTCATACCAGTCAACTAATTCCACTCCAAACTGGGAACACAATTTCTTATTCGAGCAGCTTTCTGCCATGTTATAAAAGGAAATGGACACACTGGAACTGTTCCACAACGTTGGAAGCACACCATTGTCTAAAATACAAATGTAGTATAATATTATGACTTTGCGTGTTTGGAAGTTGTTTTTCTTTTCCCGTAGCGTACCGATTGTGTTCGGTGGTTTTGGTTCAGTTACTTTAAGCTGGTTCAAAAGCCAGGTCTTAATGGCATTTGACATCCAGTGTTAGTCTTGACTTTTTATTGACTTTTATTATATTTTCTCTTAAAATCAGTGTTATGTTTTCTTTTGGTCCAGACTAATTATGCACCTTTTGAGAATTTGGATATCCTTGATCCAAACCAACTGTTCTCCAGATGCATAAGCGTCCAAAGGAACCCAGCCCAAACCATAACATGTCATATACACATAATAGTCTACTCACCTAAATTAGAAATGTATTTCAAATGTCTTGACATCAAAGGAAAAAAAACTCCCAGCAGACCAGCGATACAATCATACAAATATATTAGTTTGTTTTATTCAATTATATCCAATAATATGTATCCCCTTGACTTTGTCTAAGTTATCATAGAAATAAATACATATTGCAAATGCAGAGACAAGAGTTTGGGATAATAGTGTTGGAGGATGGGGGGCTTAAGGGGTTAAAGAGTAAATATTTGGGTAAAGACTGTTTCTTCGAAGGTGTCCAGTAAATGATTGGCGCATGCATGCTTGTAGTCTCGCCTGCCTGTGATCCTCTACCTCAACCCAGGAGTTTCAAACTACAAGTCCCACAACTCCTATTCCTTTTCAGCTGCTTTCTCGCAGTGATCCATGGGTTCAGATGGCGTATAGTAGTTGTGTTATTCCACCTTGCCAGCAATAGGGGGAGTTACTGCACCCCAACCACGTTTGCATGGATATATTTATATATATAGATATCTTTTTTTGCCCCATTTGTATACAAAAATAGTGTCATTTTGGCTTTGGAAGACTGAAGCACTCTTTTTGCATTTGGAAGACAAGAAGGAAAGCAAGATTATGGTGATTTCCTTAACATTGTTTCTGGAAGACTTTGTCACAATTACTTGGATCGTCCATGCAGTACAAAGAAAAGAAAAGAAAACATCCCTCAATGATCGATGGAAGAATCACACACACACGGAGCCGGTGTGTTTGTGTGTGTCTGAGGAGAAGACAGACGGTGAATGAGCAGTCCACATGCTGCCGGTGAGCAAATTGAAATCCCGTTAAGGTATCAAAGATCGGTTGGTCTTTGATCGACAGGTGAGTGCTAGAGGGGTGTGGAGGACTTGGCGTACTTAAGTTTTCTCTCTTTGAGCTCTATTGTCCAACATCCAGAGAAAATACACGTTTAAACACACTAAAACAACAAACAAACACACATGGACAGACCAACATGATTCATAGCAATACTCAGAATTCCTCATTTCTTTATAGGTCACAGTACTTCCAATGATATACACATCTTTTTTTAACAAAACACTTTGGGGTAAATAAAGACATTTAAGCCTTGTGTACAATCACAACTTAAACACTGCCGGTGCATCAGCTTGGGAGAGGTGGAGTCCCTCCATGTTTTTAAAGGTCACCACATTGGGTGTATGTGTGCAGTGCAGATGTGCGCTGGGAAAAACACAGCCTGATTTTGATATCTAAAGTTAATGTGGGGACAATATCATACTGGATGTGACATGATGTGCTCTGGATTTCGGTATAAAAGCACTTTTTATGAAGAGGGAGCAAGAGAGAGAAATGTGTCCGAGGACGGCGTCACTCTTTTTATCACGTGAGCCTCTCTCTTCCTCCCTCTCTTTTTTGTGTTTTCTGCTGCATTGCAGATGTGGTGAAGGGACTCCACCTCGTAGTAATGCACACACACACACACACACACACACACAC